AAAAAAAAAAAAAAAAAAAAAAAAAAAAAAAGAAAATAAACAAAAAAAATTAATCTTTGTCATTGCAAACGAACTGTTCATAAAATTTCCTTTCCTGCAAGGATTTGACTGTTTAAGTGGCAGTACATGTTTAATGTCCCTTGTTTTTCACCTGCACTCTTCAAAATGTCAAATTATATTCCTTAAATTATAAAGTCAGAAGTCTACTAAAATGAGTTTAACGGAGTAAAAGCCTGAAAATTTTATAGGTAAATGTTAGCAAAAAAAAAAATTACTCAAGTTTTTTTGATGCACCATAATGCTTTTGTCAGGCAATAACAAAATTTAGTATCTGCCTGAGAAATAGCGAAAGATGAGACTAAAGTTACCAGTAATGTGAAACTAAATAACACTCTATCATTCGAAAATTTTTTTGTATTACAAAAAGCACTATTTCTGCCAGAAAATTCAACAGCTTCCAAATTGTTTAGACAAAATATTCAAGTAAATAAAATTAAAAAACAATTTATTTGTAACGTTAAAGATCATATCAGCTACCATAAATATCATTGAAAGCATTATACTTGCAGCTGTATTAAAAGTTGCACCTGACACGTTCGTTCGTTCATTTCGTTTGAAAAAAACCCTACACCAAATTTATGTTGAAAAAAATTGCTTACATGTTTACAGAATTAACCTTTGATGTTAAATCACCCAGCTGTTTAATTACTGTTACAGACAAAAGCTTAATTAAGTGGCAAACAGTATATAAAGTCATATACCTTAAAAATACACTTGAGCTTAAAACAAAAGATTCACCAGCAAAACAAAAAAGATCAAAAAAATGTCTAAAAACAAAAAATCTTTATTCATCGACGGATCAGGCTATTAATCAAGCTAGTAAATAACTATTAAAACTATCAACTATTTTGAAAACCCATAGTTTTGAAAACTGGTCAAAAAACAATCAGAAAATTCTTTGTCTGTGAATTTCTGATGATCCATAAATTTTTTATTCATTCTTATCAATCAGGTTTAATAGCAGCACTCTAATTAGCAGCCTAGAATTAACATTATACAGGCAATAACTATAGAGTGTTATTTACTATTTCAGGTAACTTAATCATAGATTTATTTCAGGTAACCAAATCATTTAAATCCAGAGATCCGAAAATTATCTAGCCATTTCTAAGTGTCGAAATTTGGTTATAAATTTAGCACTTAACTACTTTAGCTGAAGAGCTGAACAACATTCCCTCCTTCACCAAAAAAGAATTTAACGTTTAGCTTAAAACTTCTTTCCAGCAGCAGTACAACGAGATATTATAGAAGACACATAAATCATTTTCCAACTGAGTAAAGTGTAAGCCTTCAAAGATGAAGAAATAAACAAAAATTAAAAAATAAATCCACAAAAGAAAAAAGCATTTTCCAATCGTCCCTTACTGACGCAACAAAAACCTAACGTCATTCATACAACGATTGTTTAAAAATCCAATTGTACAAAATAACTTTATTCTTAAATATGAAAAAATACCAGGTAACAACTGAAAAATTATTTAATTATACAAGGTTAAACTTAAGCGTTTTTAGCTACTTTGTCAACTTTCTCATGAAAGCTGTGACAAAAGCAAGATAAAATACTTTTCTTCTATTAAAATCGCTTTGCTTTTGATTGTACAAATGTGAAATGTAATAATGAAATTCGTTAAAGCTTTTCAGCCTAGCAAAATCATATTTTTTAATTTTTGCCGTTTGTGTTGCTCCAGACCCTTATCTTTCATTTTCCTCGAAAATTAGTGTATTCTTCAAAAGCGGAAGCTTTGCTGATCTTCCGTTATGACCATTAACAAAATTTCCCAATGAATACTGTGTAATTGCCATCGTTAAAAGTTCTAATGATCCAAAGGTTAACAACACTTTCAATTTTTTCTAATATGCCATAACTTACAGAAAACCACTTCAAAAAAGCAATAAAATGTCTAAAACAAATCAGCTAAAAAAAATTTGTCTAAATTTTATTATCTTCTTTAAATTCGAAAAAAGGTTTCTATTTTTTAGGAGATTTCTCGTTCACTGAATTTGTAATAAAAAAATTAGTGTTTCTAACAACCTCGTCAAAAGTAATATTACCGTACAAATAAGTTACTCCCCATTTCTTAATAGTCATCATTTTCTTATCTTTTTAGCAGGTGGAGAAGAGCCAAAAGCAATTTATGAACGCAAAAAGACTTTAAAAAAATAGAACAAAATTTTTTGTGCAGCTGATGAACGCATCGGCCTATCCAATTCAAATGACGCTCATTACGTCGTCTGAACAGTCAGCTATCACCTCTACGATAAACTTCAACAAGAAAAACTTTACGGGTATTGTTAATCTCAAACAGCTTTGCGGTTGACACTCAATCAAACTTGCTGAAGAACAAAATTCTAATTGTTACCATAAGACAATACCATTATTCGCACAACCAACTAGACATCAGCCTAACCAAACCCATTGTTCGTGGAACATTTGGAAATACAAATTGTTGTCCTCTAGCAGTTTAATTGATAAAAAAATAATAGAAAAAAGTGCGTATTAATCATAAATATATTTTTTAAACCCAAATTTAGTTCAACAAAAAATGCTCAAGATTTTTACTTTATTTTAAAAAGTCAGTTTGACTGTCACAAAAAGTTTCTAAACGCATCAATAAGGCATTGTTGCTGTAAATGTCATTCAAAAATAAGAAAATGTTGATTAAACTAAGGCGGTATTAGATTTAGTTTTAACCAAGTTGTCAGAATAGAAATTTTGTTTCTGGAAGGATTCAATAATTCATTCTGCAAGAAAAAAAAAAATTACTTTTCAATTTAATTTCTGTCCTCTTTTTTTTTTTTTTCTTCTAAGCTGTCCCATATCAAAACTGGTTTTATAAATGATTACAAACCTAAAAAAAAAAAAAAAAAAATTTACGGGCAGCTTCCAAAGCCCTCAGCTGTGCAGCAAAATTAAACAAACAGTCTTATCCAGTATCCGCCTTGAGTTAGCATTTTTGCTTATATATATATATATATATATATATATATATATATATATGCTTGTTTATATCTATATTTATATTTATATTTACATTTATATTTATGTTTATATTCGTATTTATACTTATATTTATATTTATATTTATATTTATTTTTATTTTTTATATTTATATTTATATTTATATTTATATTTATAT